GGGGGGGGGGGGATCTGGCAAAGTAACCTTGTGTCCCTCTTTAGCTGATCCAACCTGATAAATGACAGAGAATTCAGATCATCAAATTTTGTACCTTCTCTGGCCAAATGGGTGGTTCTTTTGAACTATTCAAACCCTTACCTATACATGGGCCTTAGATTAAATACTACAGACTATTTTCAACATTTATCTATTTATTTTGCTTCTCATTCTGTCCAGTTTTGTTCAGTTGTTGAGACTTCTTTTTTAAGTTCATATAAACAAAATCCTTAATTAAAGCCTTGGAAATCTTACCATGATGATACTTCTTGATAATTGAAAATTTCAATTACGGCAGATAGTATGCATACCTTGTGTGCATTCATAATCTAATAAACTGCAGTTTTGGGGGTTGTTTTGTAGGTTAAGTGGCAACAATGTTGGACAACCAACCTTAATCTTGGTACTTGAAAAAGATATTTTTTCATATCAGTTTTATAGGCTGCAGTAAAACAAGGCAAACTATTCCTTCTCAATTTGTTAAGAATTCCATCTCACAGTCAATAAAAATGTATGCGTTCAACTGTACCCTCCTTATTTAAAAAAATTCTTTCGGACATTTTATAAGTCATATAAAATAAATCATTCATTTCCAGAGTGCTATAAAGCAAAAAATTAGAAATTTATATATATAAATATGAAAACAAACATATTATATGCACATGCATGCACACACACACACACACACATACACACACACACACACACACACACACACACACACAAACACACAAATAAACAAACAAATAAACCCAATGACTTTTCTCACAAATTTATGTTTGTTACCCAGTGATGCAGCATATAATTATATAGAACATCACTGATCACTATAGCCTCTGATATCAGGAAGTACTAAAACAGAATACAAAATTAAACTATTAGCAATACAATAATTTGGTAATAAGCACACCCTGTGGTCAGAGAGTAACTGATCACCATATATATATATATGCTGCAGCCTCGGGCCCCGTAACTAGAAAGCACCACGCATTGCGAATAGCGATATCATATAGAGGCTACAGTGTATTATATGGGGCAAGTATGGGCGAGTTATGGAATCGAGACGCTTGCGCTCGGTCGCAATGCATAATGCTTTCAAGTTACGGAGCCCTGATCTTACTTATGCTCTTGAATAAATGTGCAAGGCACATTACATGCTAGTAACCACATTTTATTTCATCTATCATGTGGATAGTCACAGGCAGGAACTTGGTAGTAGTAATATCAGTGATAAGATGTGGTAGTACAGTTACTGTAGTTATATAAGACTAAGTGATAAGAGTATGTAACATACTGGCTTAAAATGATGAAATGTGTGCAGTGTATATATTACCAATTTTAGCTCATGATAGTGTCCTATATATAACCTTAATTGCAATGAACATGTTTAATTTGTAATATGCACAATATTCTTCAGATTTCTGGATGCATATCTAGCATTTCTTAGTAGTAAAGTACAAATGTTTGTACAATTTAAGACGGGCATGTTTTCATTGATCATGTGCTTTTCAAGTTACACAAAGATACTTTAGCAGTATGTGCCCCAAACATATACATTTTTTTGTACACGTACAGTAAATCTTTGATTTTCAACGTTTTTCCTAAATTCAGTTATGTGGTGACTTTGATCAATGTAACTTAGGTTTTTTTTTCAGTGTTTTTCCCTGGAAATGACCTCAGTTCTTGTTATATTAGAATGGGTTTGAAGCCTCTTACAAAAACACACAAAAAATCATTTAGTAAATTGCTATGTTCATTTAAACAGCAGAGTAAAAACAAGTGCCACATAACTGAATATTGAAAATCAATGACTTAAAATTTTGGTGGGCATAATGCATAAGCACTGCCTGGGTAATGTGCACTCCTGCATTAAACAATACCTGCACATAAAATTTACAAAGAACGATCCCCAATTTGCAATTTATTCGTAAAGCCTATTAGTAAGCAAATTAGTTAAAGTGTACATGTAATTCCCCATTACTTATATCATAGATATCCCTTTCTCTCTGCGACTTACCGACAGAAAGTTCTCCTTCGCACAAATTTCCTGTATGAGTTCGAAGATTTCTCTCATGCCTTCTAAACCCTAAGTATTTTTGGTCCCCACACAAAGAAAATAATTTTCTAGTTGTGATTATGACTCACATCGGTTGTTAATGTATTCCTGTTGAAAGACGAATAATAAAATAAAAACACATCTCATATTACCCTGATTGTAAAAGAAAAAGTTTTTCAGGTACACAACCAGGATAAACTAGGCTGATTTTTCAAAAATTATGTCCGAATGCTCGCGGGCAAACAGAAAGCGTTTAACCCCGATGAGGTTCGTCAGCTCAAGAAGCAGAAGGCGGAAGTAACTCACGAACAGACGCAATATGATAATGTGAGGAAAGTTTGGCATAAATAATCACCTAAATTCATAACAACCAATAACAGGAAATCATGAAGCGTCATGATATGCATAAAAACACTGTGATCAGAATTACATTTTTTAAGGAAAAATCTCTGTAGTAATATCATTTTTATTTTTTATATATTTCTCCGAAACTCTTTATTATGCTGTCTTTCATAGCTTTACTTACAAGATGGCTGACGACGATTTGCCCCGGGAGTACGATGCGATTGTTTTGGGCACAGGTTTGTACACTGTCACTTCTAAAATACCACTTGCGTATTCATAAAAAAAACGATTCAAGCAAATTTTTGTGGAATAAATCACACTTAAAGCGAACTCTCATTTCACGGAACTCTCAGCTGTCGTCTGAGGTCACTCCTGCTTCTGTGTAAAATGGGTTACTTCAATCATTATTATTCAATGAGTCATACGTTTGGGCTTATGACTGATGATGTATATGGCAATATTTTTACAAAATGTATAAAGGCAAAATTCGAAAAATAATACCTTTATATTTTTGTGATGTCCTCGCATTTATTTACCTAGTTAGATAAATAAAAAGTAAAATAAAAATGAAATATAATAATACTAATGGAATCTATGGAGGGTATAACGTTTTTAATAACTGGTCAAGACTTCATAATGCCCAGGCTTGGCAGCATTACATAAAGCACATCACTGCCTTGTGACATAAGTATTGAGTGATATGCATTGCAGTGATGTGACACATTGTATTCTGTTTGATGTACTCTAATATGTGTGCATTCTAGAATATTTATGCATAGCTTTGCTGGGCATGTATCTTGTTATTAATCCACTGTTTCCACAGTGGTAACGATAAGATGAATTTTTTGTAATGCTACAAGTAATTATATCTTAGAATAATTTCATTTTAAAGGACTGACAGAATGTGTTATAGCAGCAGCTCTTGCAAGAATTGGCTTCAGAGTTCTACACTTGGACAGGTAAGGTTTTTTTAAAATTATTTCATTTGTATTATTTTTTATATTATGCTTGTGTATATATATATATATATATTTATATATTAACTTCAATGAATTAAAAAAAAACAATATACTGTACTAGTGTAGCTATTCTTTAAATGACAAGTATACTCTATGTCCAGTTCACCAATGCATGGCTATGCTCCATTTTTGATCAAGTTTTTTATATCTCTCAAAAATTGTTAATGCTCTTTCCACAATTGATGTGCACTGATCTACCTCTAGAAATGATTACTATAGCAGTGAGTGGGCAGTATTTAACTTTGATGGCATGCAGAGATGGATAAAACAGGAACAGGTATTTTATTTTTTATATATATGGTGATGAATTATATATATGTGCTTAAATAGTATATGTTAATAAGATTTGGAAAGAAAAAACATTTAGCACATAGATGTTTTTCTTAAAATAATTAGGATGCACATGAAAGTAAGGTTTTTGTTTATTTTATTTTATTGGCATGTTCTATGTGGTAATCTGTAATGAAAATTGAATACATTTTATTTACCCCCCCCCCCCACCACACACACACACACACACACACACACACACACACACACACACACACACACACACACACACACACACACACACACACACA